CTTTTTAGGCCACAGCGTTATTGACGGACCTGTTGAGTGGTTTTATTTTTCCGTTATGGGTTACACCCAAGTCACTCTGAACACACGGGATATCTACACGCATTTTTTATTGAACAAATGACGACTACATTCAACGATAATTCGACACAAATTTGAATGGGGCGAAGTCAAGACATTTTTGAAGAGGGGTTGAGCTTTTAGCGGGAGAGGGGTGGGGGGGGCTCAGCCCCCCGCCACCCACCACCTCCTCCCCCCACTCGCCTCCTCCCTCCCCCCACTGAGTACAGGGCTGACACAATCGCCCAAGGAACGAGATAGCATCTTGGGTTGCCAGCTGGACTTCTGGTGGCACACCGAGCAGGGCATGGCCGCGCTCACAATGGGAGTGCGCGCTGCCCGATTGTACCGCCTGTTGAACCGCCCGCAACCCTACCGACTCGAAGTGACCCCGTGGGCAATATTTAACCAGCAGAGGTGCCCACGGGCGAGGGAGACCTGGGAGAGAGAACAAACGTCTGTAAACAAGTCAATTGCACCGTTTCACAACCATAGAAACGGAGCAAATGTGCCAAATCATCGTTTCACAACTCCAGTCCACTCGGCGCCCGCCCCACTAGCACTCCCCACCCCCTGTACAGATTTTCGTGATTACCAACCATCAGGTGCATGGAGAGTGCAGTGGCTGCTTCGTCTGCTTCACGTGGACTGAGCGAAACCACTCGTCACCGCCGTTAACCGCGTCCGGGAATTAAACTCAGCTGGCTGGCTTCATTGCAGAGTGCGCTAACCACTGCGCCACCGCTCCCTCACCTCTGTCCACTTATTTACTGCTCTCATAGACTCCGTGAGCCGCAGGCCGATTTGTTGACTCTCTAAAGCCATAGATTGTAAGACACGCTTAGGAAAGCTATCGGCCTGATGGTGTGGATGGCATGAGCCCTGGTGTAAGGAATTAAATGGGAAGGGGGAGTAGCCCAGTGGTTGGGCCCCCTTTGGCCCGTGGTTTCTGGTGCATTTGCCCTGCCCACTGTTCGCGAGCTTCAGTCACTGTCCCAGCCCCGTGCCATTCGTTACCAGGGTCTCCACCCTTAGGAGGGACGAAAGCACCAGGAATATTCTGATTTAATTCTTTGTTCAAACGGATGAGAACTCAAGAGACCCAGGATGAGTCTCATCTGCGAGGCTTTTGCGTGCCAGCAGGGGGGCGATTATTGCCACGTATAGTCAAGTAAATAAACTCGAGTAACTTTCTAACAATGGCAAATTTGGATCCTGACCACACAATGACCGTCGTGTGCAAACGACGTCAGGGGACCTTTAACGTCCACCGTGAGTGAAGCGGACGGCGACCCCGTAGCACCGTTGCGGGTTAACGCATCCGCAGCAGCGACGAGGGCGGCCGCCTAGTTGGAATCGCGAACCTCCGCGATGAGCGGCGAGCACGCGCTCCCGCCAGGCCAGCGTCACCGCCACTCCGTCCGGAGATGGCGGGGCCGTGGCAGCGCACGGCCGCGTAGACCCGCGGAGAGAGCGAGAGAGAGCGAGAGAGAGTGAGAGAGAGCGAGTGAGAGAGAGAGTGAGAGAGAGCACGACACAGAGAGCACGCGTGCGCGCCGCGGTTCCGACACATCGCAACACACCGCAACATTCCACAGGGGCCGGCAAAGTGGCCTCTGGGTCGGAGAGCGGACACCGCTTGCGCGGGGTTCGTCACGGCCGTGCTGCTGCCGCACGGCTCCCCGATGGGGTTCTCACGGGCGGCGTGGCCACCGCCACATGTCGGTAGCCACGACGCCCCGCGACAACGTTTCTACTGAACCGATTCCGTTCGTGGTGCACGGAGCGAAACGTCGGACGTCGTGCCGAGCAACGCGCGGTACACTAACCTGAGATCGCGGCGGAGAGCGGAAACCCCTAGCCTTCTGGCAGACCGGCCCTGGATTATGGGCGACATTTAATTCCCATTCCCCCCCCATGACGGACACGCACCGCACTTTGAACTCGCCGACGTGAGTTTGAGTCTCGGCCGTAGCTAATGTCAGCGGCGAGCGAGATCTAAACCAGACCAGGTATCGCCCACCACTCACGCCCGGGACTTTCATCAACCTGGCAGACGTAGCGCGGATTGCATAAGACTGTAAGAAGTTTGGGATAACTGATTGTCAAAGCATCACCACGATTACCACGGTTAAAACATTGACGACGACGATGGTTTATGATTACAATGATGATGGTGACAGTGTTGTTCCCCGCCCCCCCCCCCCCCTCTGTGTTGTTACAGTTGTGGAGGTATTCGTACTATGCGTCATACCACATATACGACCTCGCTAATAAGTAAGTAGGTGCTCCCAACTGCACACGCTGTTTGTGACTGTATAACGATGGACAAATCGGTTCGTAGGAGAAAACCCAATTTCTGAAGCTCAGGATAGAAGCGTGGAGTTGCATGCCCTGGAATCGATGCTTTTCGGTTTGAGTGCTGAATGGGTTTCCATCGCCGCTGCAGCCAATAAGAAATGGGAATCGAATCTTCAATTGAATGGTGAGGCCCTGAATATTTGACCTCACCTGACATCGCTGGCCGGTGCGGGTTGGTAGAGGTAGGCAGCATAGACGCGGTAGCATAGTACAGCACAACGGTGGATTTTTCCGCACTGCCCTCTGCTGCCCATAACCTCGCCCTGTGGGCCAGTTGCATTAAAAATGCCGTCATTATTTTTAACGTTTAATTGTAACAATATAACAATAGGTTTTACCATTTCCGGCGATGAAACAGCTGTCAAGATGTTAAAACACCAAACAGAATCCTTATTCAAGGAATCCTGTCTGCATTAACCACACGTATTTGTGGTGCACATGCAAACAAATTGTCACCGCTTTCGACTGGACATCTGTGAAACCTACCGGACATCCGTGAAACAGAGCTTCATAGCTCATCGGATTCCTCCGGTTTAAATAAAGATCGTGACCCGCTTTGAAAGCCATAAAGCACGAGGAATTCCAACGTGCTGGTCTACCCAGCTGGCCACCGGGGCCCCACGGAGGGTGATGATGATGGGCGGCGGCGTCTTGTTGTTGTCGTCCTCCGCAGGAGATTTGTGGAGGACAGTCCGTTGCCGCATGAAATCCAGTACATCACGTGGTCTCCCTCCGACCACAATTTGGTAAGAATTTGCCGGCTCACGCGGCAAACCACTCGAGCCACAATTACCCGAAGCTGCACAATGTGTATATTATCGACGCCATCATCATCATCGTCGTAATAATTACCATCATCATCGTCACCGTCGCCATCATCCATGATGGACGGAGGCCTCCCCCAGGCCGTGACGACCTCTCACAGCACGTGACGTTTAGAAGGAAATAAAAACGACGGTGATGGGACGGCGACACCGAGGCCGAGCGACATAACGGGAGAACGAACTTTGTACTCGTCAGGCGAGGCCATCGGCACGCTTCCGTCAAATCTGTTTATGGGCGCCGTTATAAGCGAGGCAGTCCAGCGGCACGTCTTGCCTGCAAAACGATCTGCTTCCCTTTCAACGTTCCCTCCTCCAGTGTCGTTGAATAATTTAATCAATCAGCATATATGGCCACGTGACACCTTAATTTAATGAAGGGTTATAAGTAATAATGAACATTATACCGACACGATGATCTAGGCCAAAACAAAACTAATTATGAATCATATTAGCAGTGAGAGCATACGTACAAAATTCATTATAAGCTTTTTTTTTAATTGGATGGGTGCAATAAATCCATAAATGTTTTATGGTACTAAAATAAAAAAGAGTGAGATTATTCATAATTGATATTTGGGTCAGAACGCCGCGGGAGTAAAACATCAACGTGTGGCGTAGACCCTCCTCCACCCGACACGGCCAAATAAATTAAGTCACGCCATGAACAAAGCGGTGGTCGCTGCTGAAGAATGACGATCGCGTGCGCACGTTTCTCTGCCAGTTGTTGCAAGCCAGCATCGTGGGATCCGAAAAACATCAATTGCGATTGCCTGCCTGTTAAAAAAACAATATTTCAAGATGCTCTAATCAAATTTAATCGACTAACGGAAAACTAAAATCAGATTGCGGGCCGTCGTGCTGCTCTGTTAGGCCTACGTGTACGAAAACAACATCTACCTCAAGCCAAACCTGACGGGCCCAGCAGTGAACGTCACGACCAGCGGCGCGTACAGCCAAGTCTACAACGGCATCCCCGACTGGGTCTACGAGGGTGAGGCGGCTCACCCTCGTCGTCGTCGTCAGTGGCGACGCTCGTACCTCGCACCAAAGATTTCCGACTTGGGCACCCTTTCTCTGCGTGGAATTTGTACGTTCTCTGTATCCTCCCTGTTCGCCATGGGGTACCTCTGGGCTCTCTGCCTTCCTTCCAGAGATAAACAAAACCATAGAACTGGTGTGGCATGGGTAAAATGCGGGTAACTCCCACCCCTCTTGCGGGGACCGTCCGGCCAGCGTGAAAGTGCGGACACAACCTTGGGAAGGGGGCCCCTCTCCTGACACTCCACCATCTAGCAGAGGCCCTTCCGCCAGCAGCGGCGTAAGCGAACGGTTGCAGGACCGCGCCTTTACCCCCCCCCTCCCACCCCCCGTGCCGGTACCATGCAGAGGAGATGCTCAGCACCAACAACGCCATATGGTGGTCACCGGACGGGCAGCACCTCGCCTACGCCGAGTTCAACGACACGGAGGTGCCGTTCATAGAGTACGCATTCTTCGGCGAGGAGCAGTATCCCAAGACCATCGGGGTGCCGTACCCCAAGGTGAGGGGAAGGAGGCGACGCTCTCATCTCTCATTGCCGCGATCGATGATCGTCAGGTGCGTCGCGAGCAATGCACGTCGCCAAACAGCGCGCGAAGTTGCATAAGTCGACCGACACTCGAAGGGACGTCGGAGGTAGCGGCTCTGGGAGACCCACTTCAGCGGGCCATTCTCGAGCACGAAGGGGTTACACAGATCCAAGTGCTCTCTCGAACCACTTGTTGTTGTGTTTAAGGTGGTCGTCCTTCCCCCGCACCTTCGATTGGCGCGGTTGGCTACGTACGGTGCGAAAGAAGTGCAACGCACACACGCGCACACACGCACACACGCACACACACGCAAAGATAAAAGATCCCCCTATAGCCTTAACAGACTGTAGGGGCAAGTGCTGTTAGCGAGCACCTATGAAGGCCGGAACGATACTCGAGGGGGTGGGTGGCCAGCACCACGCCCGACCGCCTTTGTCTCCCTAGTGGAAATGTTTATACACCGCACCAGGTACTCATTTGAGGCTGAGTCGACCTAGGGGAGGCCCAGGACCGGTTCAGATAATCGTCACTGGTGTTGGCCGTGAGCGGGAATCGAACCCGGGTCACCAGGTTCATAGCGCAGCGCGCTAACCGCTACACTATTGCTCCCCACAAACGCACACACGCACACACACGCACACACGTGCACACACGCACACACACACAAGTGGATTCGAGTTGAGTTGAGAAGTGGCGTTGAGACGCAAAGAAAATATCCATCAAGGTTTTTATTTTGGTTAGGTCGCGTAAATATATAAATGTGGCGTTAAACCTGACACCACCCGACACAGCCAACTAGTAAGGTCTGTAAAGTAAACAAAACATGGCAATTAGTTTCTAGGTCAGCACACCGGCGTGCTGACCTAGTGGTGATTCATACTTACGCGATCCAACCCAAAAAAAACTCTATTATGGATAATATTGGTCGCGAAAGCAAAGAAAATAACACAACGGGTTTTTAGAGGAGGCCGCTGCCTGCTGGTGTCTGCAGGCGGGAGCCCCAAACCCCAAAGTGAAGCTGTTCGTGGTGAACGTCGCCGACCCGGACACAAAGACGCAAATCACAGCCGTCCCCGAGATCGCTGACAGGTGAGAGGGTTCTCGCGCGTCCCAGTGTGCTCCCAACGCCGTTGTTTATTCACCTCGACAAGTCCCAAGGCTCGTTGACGAAAGGTCACTTCCCTTAGGGCTTCATTTTCTCACTAAATATATCCCAACGTCGCCGGGAAAACTGGGGTCAGCCTACAAACAGGACGTGACTCATAACCACAGCCATAGTGAGAGGTACACTGGATGTAGTATAGCGAGTGGGGAAAAATTTTCCCGACTGCTGGTAAACCAGGGGAAGCCTACGGACAGGATGTGACTCGTAATCACAGCCATATCTAGAGGTATACTGGATGTGGTGTACCGGGTACCGAAATATTTTCCGGGTCACCGACCCAGGCAGACCCAGCTGGAATGAAGCCCCGGTCTTAGGATTGTGATGTTTGGCCAATTTGATGCATGGCCGGTAATGACGATGGCGATGATGATGATGGCGAGTGTGGACTTGTGGTCGATTTTGTGGCAGAGATAACTACCTGGGCATGGTCACCTGGGCGACGAGTGACCGCCTGTGTGTGCAGTGGCTTTCGCGACACCAGAATTACTCGGTCCTGTCGCTCTGCGATCGCGATTCCATCAACTGGACATGCAGTAAGGTGAGGGCCCAGAACATGCTTCCCGGGGCTTCTTGCTTCCCTCAGCGAATATTTACCGGTCGCCGATAGGCTGGAGTAGGTGGAATGTGACTCGCAGAATCAGATCAGAATCAGAATATTTATTTAGACTGTAGGAATCCGATTAAGCTCTTTTTTCACGTATTTTCCAGTAACAGCCCATAGCCATAGCCAAAGGTATACCAGACGTGGTGCGCTGGTTGAAAGATATATTTTCTGGGTTGTTGATCCGGACATAGCCGGTTGAAGTGAAGCCACAGGCCCTTGAGAGTGTGAGGTCACCAGTGGCAGAGGTCATGGTAGACGGACACAAACGGTGGACCCGTGCCCAGGGGCAACCTTGTGCTCTCTTGCATTCGAACGCTAAGCGTCTTGTAGAGCATATTCAATTCCTTACAAGTGAAATTATAATAATAATACATGTATTTGGATTGATTTAATTCGGCCCCCACGCAAAAATGTACTTGAGACTTCCCATCCCGAATCAACATTGCAATCCCCCAAATAATGTTTTCACTCGTCACCCAATATCCTAACGCGTGGCGCCAAAGACGACTTCAACTCCCGTTGCTTCGGCTGGGACCAATTCCAGGATGATGAATGTGCCGACCCGGCACATCGACCGTGGCCGAAACCCACCTAAGCCAGTGTGGCCAACTATCATCGTACAAATTGGACAATAAAAAAAAAATATCCCCAATAATAAACGCCTTGCCGTTTCTTCTCTTTCAGAACCACTACGAGTCGGCGCAGACTGGATGGATCGGCACGGTACGCACGCGACTGCCGCCACACACGCGCAGCCTGCTGCCGACTCTGACGATTGCTGCACGAGTCAAATTAATCACCTGGCCGTTAAAAAAACTCCTTCGGGTGCCATCTGTGTCGCATCGATCGACATGGGAGACACCCGCGACCTCACGACGTCCGTACCGGCGTCCGGATCGTGTGTATAGATTGTTATCTATTCAACGACCGTACGGCATTTGGCTTTGCACTGTGGTTCACGTGAACACAACAACGCCCACGCGCCATCAGCCGGGTGGGGGGCAATGGAGCCACAGTAAGCACGTGGGTTTCTCGCCTTACCAACAAGGCTCACGCCTCCTCGTTGGTGTTAAAAAACATGCCTAGGCCAAGTGCCGGTGACACCAGACTGGGCTAATAAAGTTTAACAAGTACCCCGAACCCAGTCAATATAATTAACACGTCCGTGCGTTTTTGGAGCGTTGGCCTGCTCAGCAATTCGGCGTGTTCGACGCCGTTAGCCTGAGGTGCACGGGAAGGCAGCCAGAACCGGCGCCAAAGGTTTCCCAAGCTCTGTGGTCCTACATTGGGATAGACTCCTCCGTTACAAAAAGCAGCTTTGGTGTCGACCGAGTGGGTGTGGTCGAGGTCGGGGGTCGTTTGAATGTCGAGGTCGCGCAAGGCACCGTCCGCGTCGTTCTAAACCACCTGGGCCCGGCTCGACGGGCTCCACTGTCGCGTGGCGTCCGCCGTGACCGGATTCCCTCGTGTGCTGTGTGTGCTACGTGTGCTGTGTGTGCTGCGTGTGCTGTGTGTGCTGCGTGTGCTGCGGGTGCTGCGTGTGCTGCGTGTGCTGTGTGTGCTGTGTGTGCTGCGTGTGCTGTGTGTGCTGTGTGTGTGTGTTGTGTGTGTTGCGTGTGCTGTGTGTGTTGTGTGTGCTACGTGTGCTGCGTGTGTTGTGTGTGTGTGTTGTGTGTGTTGCGTGTGCTGTGTGTGTTGTGTGTGCTGTGTGTGCTGCGTGTGCTGTGTGTGCTGCGTGTGCTGCGTGTGCTACGTGTGCTGCGTGTACTGTGTGTGCTGTGTGTGCTGCGTGTGCTACGTGTGCTGTGTGTGCTGCGTGTGCTGCCTGTGCTGCGTGTGCTGTGTGTGCTGCGGGTGCTGCGTGTGCTGCGTGTGCTGTGTGTGCTGCGTGTGCTGTGTGTGCTGTGTGTGCTGCCTGTGCTGTGTGTGCTGCGGGTGCTGCGTGTGCTGCGTGTGCTGTGTGTGCTGTGTGTGCTGCGTGTGCTGTGTGTGCTGTGTGTGCTGCCTGTGCTGTGTGTGCTGCGTGTGCTGTGTGTGCTGTGTGTGCTGCGTGTGCTGTGTGTGCTGCGTGTGCTGTGTGTGCTACGTGTGCTGTGTGTGCTGCGTGTGCTGCGTGTGCTGTGTGTGTTGTGTGTGCTGCGTGTGCTGCGTGTGCTGCGTGTGCTGTGTGTGCTGCGTGTGCTGCGTGTGCTGTGTGTGCTGCGTGTGCTGCGGGTGCTGCGTGTGCTACGTGTGCTGTGTGTGCTGCGTGTGCTGCGTGTGCTGCGTGTGCTGCGTGTGCTACGTGTGCTGTGTGTGCTGCGTGTGCTGTGTGTGCTGCGTGTGCTGCGTGTGCTGTGTGTGCTGCGTGTGCTGTGTGTGCTGTGTGTGCTGCGTGTGCTGCGGGTGCTACGTGTGCTGTGTGTGCTGCGTGTGCTGCGTGTGCTGTGTGTGCTGTGTGTGCTGCGTGTGCTGTGTGTGCTGTGTGTGCTGCGTGTGCTGTGTGTGCTACGTGTGCTGCCTGTGCTGCGGGTGCACAGTTTGGTCCCGCGGAGCCGCACTTCGCGGTGGACGGACTGAGCTACTACCGCGTCTACAGCGACAGCGCCGGATTCAAGCACCTCCACCACGTGCAGGAGGTGCGTCGCCCCCCTCCCCCCGCTCCACGTCCGCCCGCCGCCAGCCCGTGTCCCCCCGTCCGCCCGCGACCGCCGGTTCCGGTGTTGGGTTCTCACGGCTTGGGAGACGCGGTCAGTCGGGCTTGGGGCGGTCGGAACTGACGGTGGAGCGGCATCCCGGAGAGGGAACGCAGCCGAGAGGACGTCCGCCGCGGAGATGGAGGCGATGACACTCGCTCGGAATATCCGCTCTGACCTCGCGGATCGGAAACATGGGCACGGCTGAAAAGCGTGCAAAGAAGCGTCGAGAGGTGCGTGCGTGGAAATGACACGGAGTGTAATTAACACGGCTGGCTACGTACGGCGCGAAAGAAGTTCAACGTACATACGTAAAAGAGGAACTTGTGGGTCAGCGAGCAAGACGATATCGACCGTTGACGTGTCGCTAGAAGGGATGACGGCCGATTTACCTGACCAGCGGCGGAGCGTTAGCCAAGGAACGGAACACGTGTCTCGATAGGTTGTCCATCCGGGAGATGGAATGATGACGTCAGCTTGTGTGGAGGTGCTGAGTGGATTATGGCATCGTGGCATTGTAAGAGGTTGTGGCTTCGTGATGGGAGGCATTAGTCCAGCAGTGGATCGAACGTGGCTGAAGGTTGCGAGACAGCGAAGTGAAAACAAAGGCAGGAGGACGTCTGCCATGGGAGAGATGGAGCGATGAGTTCGAACTCGTGCGCGGGAACTCGATGGCTTGTTGCATCACAGGACTGTGAGAGATGGCGACGAATTGGGGAGATCTTCATCCAGCAGCGGACTGATCATGACCGATGACGAACTCAATACCTT